AGCTCAAGATTACTTGAAGGCCCACGGTCACATGAGAAACCATGGCCCATGCGAGCTTGAGAGCTCACGGCCAGAAAGGAAATCATGGTCAAATGACGTTAAAAGCTCACAGCCACATTAAGGGAGAGCAAGACACAACCCAAGATGAAGCTCACGACCTCATTAACTTTTTTTTATAAAGCTAAATCAAACAAAAACTACAACTACCTTTCCTTTCAATAACTTTTTCAATTTTTAGTTATCCAAATAAGTGAAATATGTTTCTTTTTTATTTCCTTTATAAACCACTATATTTCTTTCATTTCCGTACCTTTAGTATCTATTCACTTACTAATTATTTCCTAAACATAGAGCTTAAGGTCACCATTGTATAGATAAGGAGGTAATATGGAGCTCCTAACTGTAAGTTATTCTGCAAATAGGTGGCACCCATTGTTTGCACTGAAAATAAGATGTCCCCCGAGTCTTAAAAAAAAAATCCTACGAGAGAAGAAAGTCTTTCGTCTTTCTTGTCAATAGAAAAGATCTTCCACGAAGTGCAAACCCCGACCTGGAACCATCTTATCTACGATACAAGGTGAAATAAACCATGCACCCCCAGCCCCCCACCAAAAGAAGAGAAGAAAAGAAAAGGAGACTTCAAAATTCCTGAATGTAATTCCCTCTCTTTAAGATTACACCATTTTTTCACAATTCAAGTATACGTATTTCATCTATACATTTAGGTGAGTGCAATGACCATTTATCCTGTGCAAAAAGATGGGCAGCTTTGAATCTATGTTCAGAAGTACTAATTCACCATCAACATAAAACAGGGGAAGCAGAAATATTCACCAATCGTCAATCACCGAATTAACAGCGAACATGGAATTTGACCAAATCGTTGTTGTTGCCACTGTCATTGTCGCAAAACCAAGCTGGCAACCAAGTGGGATGTAAACAAAAAACTGATTTCACCCAATAACTTAGAGACCTAATAGATGAAACACCCAAAAGACAAGATTTGAAAGTATATTTTGAGTTCAAATTTTAATTTTACCAAATAGGAAAAAGAATCAAATGTAAATGAAATAAAAATTGAACAAAAATATCATATTCAAGTTATGTAATTTTCTTACTCTTTCCTTGGCAATTGATAATACAAATTCATTCTTGTGAACTTAAGATATAAGTCCATTAAATATGTAAATTATAACCAAGTTCCACGTACTGAATGATGAACATCCAGGAATAGAATAAAACATGTACCAAATTTTGAAGAAAACTACATACTTCTCAACAGTCAGTTAACAACGAAAAGTTCCAAATTAAAACCATATTACCTACAAGTCAATCTTGGTCTCAAATGCCAAATTTCACCATAAAGTAAGATTAATAAGCTAATTTACCATTAGTTATCATGTAAAAAGGGAGCTTGCGAACAACACGACTAGCCTGTTCTGCGCTATTCTCGCGCCAAAACCCCAAAAAACCATTACATTATATGTTCAACTACAAGTTAATTAATAAAAGAATTCCCTGCTTCAACTCCTAAGCCATGATAAGAAGTTGCATAAACAGTAAAATACCTGATTAATAATCAGGATGAGCCGGTGCTGGAATTGCTGCTGCGAAGATCTTCGATCAAGCCTCCGAGCTCTTTCCGAGCAGACTCTCTGCCAAACATGAATCCGTACCTGGGAAAGAGATCAACAAGACGAAAGACTCAAAAAAAGAAGTTCACCGTTTAGATATGAAAACAGAAAAAATATACAGAAAAGAAAAAGTGTGATTAACGAGAAAGTTACAAAGGCGAAGAGAATGACCAGAAGGAAATAGCGGAGAAGACACCTGCAGTGGCAATTGTTTGAATCAAACTGAACGATTTCTCCATTTCACTTTTCAGATTTTATTTATTTGGGTTTGTTGATCAGTAAGAAAGACGGGAAGGTTTTGGGAGGCGCGAGTTGAATGGTAACTCGAACGACGAGCGGACGATGAATTAGCCTTGAGCGGCAACGTTTGGATTCCGGTCCGTTTTATTTGGGGTTGGATTCATACAGCTCCAAATTGCCCTCTTTGTCCCTTTTGAAAATCTTTGCTAAACGAAGCAGTTAGATCAAGAACCGGGTTTGGTAAAATCTAAATTCACAGTTGTAAATATGTAAAATGCAAGTTTACTTTGTTCACTTTTCTTGTTCAACTTAGGATGGGCTGATGACTCAGTGGGTAGGAGTGAAATGCCACTCCAACCCAAAAATTAGTTGATTCTTTTTGAAAATGCGTTAAGGTACAACAGGTGATTTGAACATTTAGAAGTAAAACATCAGACACTAATGGAATAAATTTAGTATAATTTGAAATAATATTCCACCATAATTAAAATTCAATAACAAATAAAAAAAATACAAAATTTATATATTTCATGTTAGCTCAAAATATAATATCTTTTACCCACTCCACTCTTGAAATATTGAAAATAAAATTATATTAATGAAAATAATTATAACCACAAATACTTAAAAACATAATATATTCATAACATGAATATTAGTTGTCTCTTCCTCAAATATATTTAGTGTTGAAAATTGATATATTGAAGATAAATTACACTAACCAAAACAACTATGATATAATAAAAACACAACAAACAATTAAAATACAATATATTCATAATTATTTCTTCCACAATATCTACTTTGTCATGAGTTCTTTACATCCTAAAGCAAGTGCCAACATAAATCACAACCCACAAAATAATTATTCTTTAAATTCTGTTCATACGTGGTGTGGTATCCAAGTTATCTAAACCCATATTGAAGTAGATTGATTATCTCTTAATATCTTCTTCTTTCTTGATTCCAAATTAATTTTATTTTCAAAACAATCTCTTCACACAAATTTTATATTTAATTTTAAAGCTATTTTCTTTATTGCCTAACTAATCAAGTTTTTTCTTATTTTATTCATTTCTTGAGTAAATAATTTTAGTCGGTACTTAATTAGTAAAATTCACAATTTATTAATAGCATAAGATTTATTATGGAAATGACCATCATATCCTCAGCTTTAGTTTAGCCAAACATACCAAGTATGCTGCTATTAAAGCCAATATCAAATGAGTTCGGACCATCAAAACTTCTTTTGATTATTCCTCCTATAATTAATTATCACATACAAAGTTGGTAAGAAACATTAGAAGCATGATATTAGCACAGTGCTATTTTGTGTCAATCTAGTATTCCATACTCATTAAAAGATTCAAAAAGGATCATTGGATTTTCAGTATAGATAAGTAGCCGATGCTCACATAAAAAAGTACTTTCACGAGAATAGCTTATCGAGACAAGATCAATGCGTCCAATTACACTGTTAACGAAAGAAAGAAAGTAAATAACTTTCAGTTCCCTCGAGTTGAAACTAGGGTACTGGTCAACCAAAAAAAGAAAAAGAGCACAGAAATCCAAAAATCCCTTTAATAGAAGGATATACGTCTTACATCGAATGTAATTCTCTTCATAATGAATTGAGTCATGGAAAATAGCAATATGCCATTAAGATAATCAAAAGTTGGGGAGAGTTTATTTAATCGAATTTTAATGTCGATTTTCAAATACAAGTCAGCAATACTGAATGTGCATTTCCAAGCTGAATTTTCAATTTATTATTATATACTATTCAAGCCTTCACAGGAGAATCAACATATTGATACAGGAAACACAGAACCAATTTTATCTCCAAAACGATAGCACTTTATATTAACAGTGTATGGACCCAACTGCACATGGTTGTCCTCTACCCCCACAAAGAAACACAATGTATACAGAGCTATTTCAAACTCCGGGCTCCCACCAACCAAAGTGGTTGAAACTGATTTGAGAATGCCATGCCATTCAAACTGAACTGTAAGCAACTGTGTATCACAATCTGGCTGCAACACAACTCAGAAAATACAAAATAAGGAATAGTGCTATGAAATGTAAAAATCATCTTGGCATTTAAGCCTAACATAATTCACGTAACAGATATTTGACTCCTATAATAATATATAGGAAAATTCATGTCAATAAAGCACAATTTGGAAAGAAAGCTCTTAATCATCTCAAAAAGCAAAATCGTTTAGAAGATTTTTCAGAGGACTTACATATGCAACTATTTTTAGAGGCAATAAGTAACAATTACGCATGTTGATACAAAATTGTCAGATGTCCATGTTCATTCTAATGCATTCAAAAAAATCCTTCAAAAGGTTAAGAGATGTAATCAGCAAGAAAGCTGCAAGGTGCCAACCAAGGAAGGTAGCACAAGACCGAGCTCATAAAGAGCCATGATTAGCACAGCCGATCAATACAGTAATTTTGTAGAGTCAGGTTGGGTTAAGAGTACATTGCTTGGTCCAGCCTGACAATGTGTTAAACAAATGGAGGGCTTCTGTTGATAAGGATTTTATTCTGAGTATTATGTTAAATAGGATATTTTATTAGTTAGAGTTTTAATAGTAAAGATATATTATGTAATTACAATTCTCTTATAATAAGAATAATTACTCTATATATATCTCTCATATAAGAAATAAAATTAAAAGTTTATTTTCTCCAAAATTTTCATGGTATCAGAGCTAATTAAGATTATTTTAGGATTAATTTTAAGATTTTTTTCAAAATCCTAAAATAAGCAAAATAAGCTAAATTGGTACTCAGTTACCAAAAAAATCAAACCCAGCATCACCCAGATGGAGTGGCCAGTCAACCCCGAACAGCACAACCATTGTTTCCGCACGCAGGAGCCACACACCGCTGGCTTCATCCCATTCGGCCCGAAAAACGTTAGAATACCGTCAGAAAAAGCCATCATACAGTCTGTTCCAGGTCAAGAATATTTTCTGGTTCCAGAAGATACTGATGAGTTATCTTTCTCTTGTCATTTATCTGATAAGCCTATTGTTACTAAAAAAGGAACGAGAACTTGACTAAGCACCCTATATCTAATTATGTTTCCTATGACTCTGTATCTCCCTCCTATAAAGTTTTTATCTTATCTGTTTTCTCTGTGTCTATTCCACAGGATTGGAGAAAAACTTCAGAAGATTCCAAATAGAAGGAAGTCATGATTGAAGAAATTAGAGTATTGACCAAAAAATGAAATATGAGAACTTGTTTCACCTCTACAGGGAAAGAAGATAGTTGGTTGCAAATGGGTATTCACCATAAAACACAAAGCAGACAGATCGATCGAAAGGTATAAAACTAAATTGGTGGCTGAAGGATTTACTCACACCTATGGAATTGACTATTAGAGACCTTTGCACTTGTTGCGAAGATGAACATAATTATGATACGTTCGTCTTGCGCAGCTAACCTTAATTGGGATCTACAACAGTTTGATGTAAAAAATGCATTCTTCCATAGAGACTTAGAGGAAGAGGCATACATATAAATTTCACACGGATTTGAAGATGAGACGATGGAAGGAAAAATTTGCAAATTAAAAAAGGTCTTATATGGATTAAAACAATCTCCAAGAGCATAACTTGAACGGTTTATAAGAGTTATAATCTCTTTTAAATATCAACAAAGCAATACTGATCATATCCTATTTATCAAACATCGTGAGATAAAGTCACTCTTCTTATTATTTATGTAGATGATATTGTGGTGACTGAAGATGATACAGAAGAGATGATCGGTTGAAGAAATTGCTGACTCAAGAGTTTGAAATAAAGGATTTAGTAAAATTGCAATATTTCTTGGGAATTGAAGCTATCAAGTCCACTAAAAGAATCTTCATTTCTCAAAAAAAAAATATATCCTACACTTACTAGAAGAGATTGGTATAATGGACTGCAAGCTGGCAAAATCACCTATTGAGAGCAGCCACAAACTATAAGCAGGTAGTGGTACATCAATTGATTTAGGAAGATACCAGAGACTAGTTTGACAACTCATTTATCTCTCACATACCAGACCTGATATAGCATATGCAATTAGTCTGGTGAGCCAATACATGCATGATTCTCGTGAAACTCATTTACATGTTATCTTCCACATATTACGATACTTGAAGTTTGCACCATGAAAATGTCTGCTATTTTCTAAGCATAATCATTTTAAAATAAAAGCAGTTACAGATACCGATTGGGTTAGTTCTCTAGATGATAGAAGATCAACTATAAGTTACTGCACACTTGTAGGATGCAACTTGATCACATGGAAAAAAAAAAAAAGCAATGCGTAGTTGCCCGCTCTAGTGCTGAGGCAGAGTATAGAGCAATGGCTCAAGGAATATGTGAATTACTATGGTTGCAAAAGCTATGAGAGAATTAAAACTTCTTAAAGAGAAAAAACTATTCATGTTTTGTGACAACAAGGTAGGTATTAACATTGCTCATAATTTATTTCAACATGACAGGACAAAACACATTAAAATTGATCGACACTTCATAAAAGAGAAGGTGGTTGGTGGCTCTCTATGCTTATATCATGTATCTTCTGGCGAGCAGATGACTGCTGTTTTCATTAAAGGATTACGCAATAAATCTCTCCAGGACCTAATTTACAAGTTGGGTATGTGTGATATCTTTGCGGTAACTTGAGGGGGAGTGTTGATAAGTATTCTATTTTAAGTAGAATATTATACTAAATAAGATATTTTATTAGTTAGAGTTTTAATAATAAAGATATATCATATAATTAGAATCATTTTAAAATAATGATAATTACTCTATATATATCTGTTAAATGTAAACACAAAAAATATAAGAAGTAAAATTAGAAATTTATTTTCTCCAAAATTTTCAACTTCAAATTTCTTTAGATCTTCTAGGGGTTTAATATAAAGAGATTTCTCTCCCCTATCCTCTTCCTTTGATGACAGAAGCTTTAAGTGACCTAATCCTTAAAGCCCCAAGCTAAATCTTATCCAAGGGTAGGTATGGATAATGATGACCATGGGGTTGAGTTAATGCAGAGACATCTCACACTTTTTGAAGAAGCTTTCTAAATCTGAGATGTCATTTACTTTGTTTCAAGTTGTGTTACGTTTAAAGGTGAACTTAGGCAAATCAAAGATTTTCCTACCAGTCATGAAGCAAATGATGTTCAAATGGCTTGAGTTTTCAGATGCAAA